GAAATACACGCGCTGATATACTTTTAATTGTATTATTTTATTGAAACCTTACTTAATAGGTAAATTTAACGCTTATAGAACGTAGTCTTGAAGATGTTAATGTTAATTTTCTTCTAACTTTACAAGTTAATTAAATAATTTAGTCACTAATAAAGGTTTATGTATGGACCAATTTTATTCAATTGTGTTCTTGTACTTTTCGTTGAAGGCAAGTCTTCAGTTTTATTCATTTTTCATTTGTGTTAATTTTAATGTAATATTACATAAAATTGGAGATTAGGTTAACTTAATTTTCTCGTAAACAAAGTGTTATAAACACAGGCATTCAGTAGAACTAAATTGCAAAGATCAAAGGGAAAAGATAGAGCAATACATTATTAAACGACTTGCATTTATGGTAAGAGTTGCTTTCCATAACTTTGTCTTTTTGGCGCTTCTAGGAAAACAAATTGATTAAAAATCTCTTTTGAATTAACGCCAGAGGGAAATTATATATACATATATACCATTGAGACAACTATTTGATAAATCAATGTATTTTTTACCTTTGCTGTCATCTAATGCGTACTTCTCTGCTAAACCGTTAACTTTGTAAATATTACTTGCAATGCTAAATATTTAATTCCCTTTATTTTAGATTAAGAAACCCTGACATATGGTTTACGTTTTGAAATTATTGAAAAATTTAATAATTACTTTTATCAACTCTTTATTTAAAAACTATTGTGTAACTGTGAATTATTGGTGCCAATCAATTTTATAAGTTAAAAACTTCAAGATGAATTAAATAACCACTTTAAGTTCCACAAAATTGTCTAATAGATCTTAACTACTAAACTTATGGTCTAATGATAAATTCCAATTACTCTGAACCCAATTCTTCTTGCGACTTAATACTCTGTTTACATTCTATTACACAGGGGCGTACATGCTCTAATGCCCCCCAGTAGCACAGCGGTACGTCTGCGGACTTACAACGCTAGCATCCGGGTTTCTATCCCGTGGTGGGCAGAGCACAGATAGCCCATTGTGTAACTTTGTGCTTAACTTCAAACAAAAAAAAACATGCTCTAATGGTTAGCATGTTCTGGTTGTGAATTCGAGGACTAATGATTCGCAGCCCTTTTACGCAAGGAAAGTGCTCCGTATTTTAGGGTTGTGTGTGTGCTATACGAGTAAAGGTCAAAATCCACTATTCGATCAGACAAGAGTAGTCCAAGAATTGGTAGTGGGTGCTGTTAACTAGCTGCCTTTCCAATAATCTATCAGTTTGAAATTAGGGATTGCTGTACACAGATAGTCCTTGTGCAGCTTTCTGGAAAATTTTTAAACACACAAAATTTACTACAGAGTTATGTTATTCTGCCAATATTATAAACACAAAACGTAGACTTGCCACAAACTATCTATTCAGTCTTGTAGTTATTGTTGGATGAGCTCGTGCACATCGACCATTGTAGAACTGAACCACTCCACGTTTTTCTGTGGACATTGTGGTGAAGTCTCTCATGGGGAGGGGTTATATATCACATCAACAGGGAAAAAGTATTTGTCATCCAAATATGAACATATTTGGCAAACAGCCTGCAAATTACTGTTTCATTGTTCTTAGTGTCATCGTCATGCAAGGCAAGTGGTTCTATTTTAATTAACAAGCTTCTCAAGTGTCCCCTTAGTAATCGGCATTGCCCATTTTGCTAACCAATCAGACTTGGAGTGGGTGATAAGATGAAGTGCTTGTCTTCCCCACAACTAACATTTTAAACAATTGATGAAGAGTTAGCTATTGAAATTCGCTCCATAATCTGTATGGATTGCTTCCATACAGTCCTGTGTAAGCCCAAGTGTTGTCACAAACCATGTCATGAGATACTTCTTGACTCAGAATGGTTTGCCAGGCTAAGGTTCACAGTAATTAACCATGAGTGCCTACTCTCTTTTCTGACAGTATTGACTAGCAGAAGACATCCACCATAGACACATCCAGTTCTTCTCAACTGATTTGGCAGTGGTCTGGACTAGAGTTTGAGCTGAAGTACTCTGACTGGCAAAATTCTGTGGGTCCTGTAGAAACCTCTTTAGGCGGTCTTGCACATGGCAGCTGCCAATCTACGTCAATGGCACCTTAATATTTCTCATCTTCCATGCCCCAATCTCAATCTTCAGGAGCAAGATTTGGGTGCTCCCGGCGTCAGCAGTTGTAAGTTGATCAATGTCATAGACCTTTGTAACATGGGCAAAAGTCCAGGAGAAGAATTCTCATAGATCGACATTTCTCTCTTGCAACCATCTCTCTCTGGCAGCAATTTCTCTCCTTGTACATCCAGAATAAGCTATTATTTTCAGTAAAAGCATTCCTTTAGCCTCATTTAACGTAAGAGATCAAGAAAGGGCCACTATGCATGTTAACATACAAAAAATTCAATAATACATCCTGGCATTACAACACCAAAATTATTCATTCCTATCTACTTGTGATATTGTCAGGTTAAACCGATTTCCTTCAGGTATTACATAGGTCCGCTTAATAACAGCATGATCAAACAGAAAATGTTAGTGCTATCTGAATTTGAAAACTCAACTGAGTTTTAAGCTGTGTGAGAAATAAACAAACTGGACAACTGTGGTGTTAAGTGAAACAATCTTTATTTATAACATGACAAAACAATGTGCATACTTGCACAGACAAGAGGAAACTTGCCTCCATTGTGTTGGAATTAGCAGCTCTCTTTCTCTCAGTACAGGTCTCTGTCAAACCAAATACAATGATAATCAAGAAAAAATATATAGAACCAAGGGTCCAAAATGATAAAGTTAACCTGGGTTCCTTTGTGTCATGATAGCATCAGTGCATAACTGACCATTCTCCCATAGCTTTCGTTTGCTGTTGCATACAGTCATCACCCACGTGGCCAGCAAAAGACATTGCATTTGTTGACCTTTACAACAAGGACATCCCAAAGGTTGCCTTATATATTATCTGCTATAAAGAACAAAGGCAACTAGAACAAAGCAACTTAGTTGTTTGTTAGATTATGTGTTTATGCTAAAACTGCATACAAACAGACTAAATGTAATTTGCATAATTATTCAGAAACAATATCAAAAATTAAACAATTATCAGCATGTCATCAAATATAATTCATAGCAAACCAATACCTGGAATTACATTCAGGTATAATTTTTCAGATCATATTGAATTTTGTCTCCACCACCATCTTTTGGTATAATGTCCAATATCTGTATTTCTATTATAAATTCTTTAGACTAGAATCAATCATTTAGAAACTAACTATGTTTTCTTACTGTTCCATCGGAACCATTATGCAATTGATTATGACGTTCAAAGATAGAAAGTTAATCATACTTTTTGTACTTTAGTGGGGATGGGGGTGAATGGACTTCATGAATCATACGTTTTTTGTTCTTATTATCATCATGAACCATGATAATTATTCATAATAGGGGTCACCCAGGAATTTCACAAAAATTCTAATAGAACATACGGCCAAAAACCATCTTAAAATGTAGACTTGTTCAATAAACAGTACTCAAGACCTTTTATCTCGATAGCTAATGCTACTAAAATATTGATAATAGCAAAAACGTTGATTTTTTCCGATGGTAAACAAATTTCAGAATTCATCCACCTGTTCCTCACATTATTATTATTCATATTATTCTTGTTTCACAAGCCTACAGAAAAAACAACTATGAATATCTTATTCAAACCTACTAAAACAACTTATTTGCAGGTCATAGGACTATTTTTATGTTGATTCTTGAAAAAGAAGGAGAGATTTTATCTTCTTTTTTTTATCCCTATTGGCCAAGTTTTTCTTGGAAACCATTTAAGCACCAAAGCCTACAGCAAAAACAGCTTAAGTATAGTGCGCCAAAATCTATGCACAACTACTAAACAAATTCCTGCGAAGATTGTGAGGCTATTTATAACTTGTTACTTGAAAGTCGAGATTTCCCCCTCTACAATTTTCAAACTTCTTGTTCGCTACCAACATAAGCTCTTTGAAGCCATTTAAGTACCGTTGTAGTAGTGAGAAACCTTTAAATATTTTAGAGTAAACAATGTGTATATTTATAACTATGTCTCCAACCTCTTTGTTATTGATTATAGTTTTACAAGTCGCTACAGAAAAAATGGCTACAAATATTTTACTGAAACCTGGAAATAAATGCAGTAATGAGTATGTCATTAGGTAGTTTTAAAAATAATTTAAGTGCTTTTGTTTTTTCTCCCTGAATAATTTCTCTAAGTCTTTCAGTTTCCGCCATTGATAAAAATTTTGGTGTTTTACTGATGAGAATTAATTGAAATCTTCCACAATGAGGGTTCATTATTTCTCGAGTTCGCTGTTGTACTTTGTCTCTACGTGGTTTTTTGCGACCATTTCAGTGGGTTTTCTAACAGTAAACGATTACCACAGTGGATTTCTTTACTCTTGTGAGTAATAATGTATTCTACTGATTTTCATACTTCCCTTGTTAAACGTGTGTTTACATGAAACCTCAGACACAAAACCGCATGGCTCAGCAAATAATGGCTGGGTGAACAAAAAGCCAGTGCAGCAGTAAACTGCTGAAAAAGATTTGACATTCAACTGAATGCACATGTATATATGTAGCTTAAAATTTATTCTCTATAAATGGACATAAAAAAAATAATAAACAAGATAATTAAAAAATATTAATTTATAAAGGGAAATAGAAATCGTCAAAAATATACAGAAACAACTTGGGTAATTAACAAAATTGTGACTTGAGCCAAAGAAATCAAGCTCTAGTTATATTTCAAAAATATGAGATTATTAAAGACTCATTTTATATATTTTCAATTGTTATACTCGAATTAATCACATTATATTCACAAACAAAATAATTTTAAAAGTATCAATGAAAGAAAGTGTCGAAAATTGAACGACACGTGAAATTTGTCGTTAGGTGGCTTGTCCTGAGATCTGTTGTAGTGTTAGTCTGTAACTGCTTGCTGCTTATCCGCCCTTCCGGCGTTTAATGTAATGTGTTAATGGGATTAGTCTGTTTTATATTTCATAAGCTTAGTCATTTACAGTAAGTTAATACATATTTTTTAGCTCACTTCTTCATATCGAGATACTGCATTAAAAACTTTCATGGACAGTCAAGGAAGAAAAGTTATTGTATGTGACAACGGTACAGGCGTGAGTATCTTTCTCTCATTCTGAGTCTCAATCAAATGACTAAACTCAGACTCAATTTTGTAGTATTATAAAATTTCTACTCAGTCTTCAAAATTTAAGCAGTTTTTAATTTGTTAAAACTTGTATGGACCCATAGAATATGAAATCTATTTACTTGTAAACTTGAATTTTGAAAGATGGCATTTGAGTTAGGGGTAGTAGTAATGCAATACACTGGCATTGCATTTGCAGTATGTAGTAATGATTTACTAACATCATGAATTTAATACTATGGAAATTTGTCAGAAAACTGAAGTGAGAACTGAGAAAAGTATATTTTTCACAGAGTTATGCTGAATTTGTTTCTCCTAAAGGGGCCAAAGGCTGTCTGGTAGGGTCACCTATTTTAATAACACGCACCATTATACAGTAGTGTGTTATTTGTCAGTCGGTCAGTAGACGCTAAAATGACACCACATAAGGGACACTTAACATTGCAATTTGTACTATCATGATGTCAGTAAAATGTGTGCATGCCATGAATCATGAGAATAATAGTATTTGTTACTTTTAATTTTGGTTTTATTTCCTTTTGAAACAGAACACTTTCAAGGATCCTGTGGAAGTATATCTAGCATTATGTTTTATTACTAATGCTATGCTGCTAGGATAATTTATAGCCTAGAACAATTATTTGGCTAATGATGTGTATTTGCCCATTTTATTGCTTCCCTGGTCTGGAATTGGAACTAAAAATTTGCTATTGTATAAAGTATGTGCGGAAACATCTGTTAGCTCAGTTCTTGCACAGATCTTAAAATATAACTTTGATAAATGGAAACATCAGCACATGTAGATATGTAGATCTTGAAAGTCAAGTTCAAAACTTGAAAATAACATTGATAACAGGACCAGTTGGTAACTGATAAGAATTGGTCCTGTTATCAACACTATTTTCAAGTTTTGAACAACTCGACTTTCAAGATCTACATATCTACATGTGCCGATGTTTCTGTTTATCAATGTCATATTTTAAGATCTGTGCAAGAACTTGGCTAACAGATGTTTCTGCATATGAAAGCTATTTTCAAGTTTTGTACACCAAAAAAAACATTTTAACTGAACTGGCAGTGGCATTAGAAGAAGCATCCAGTTGTATTAGAACTAAATTTTTATTTTTTGTATGTATGGGAACATTTAACAAATGAATATTTCAAGCTTGTCTGACTGGATTTTGTTAAACTACATTACTAATGGATTTGTAGTTTAAAAAACTTAATAATATGATGGAACCAAACACAATAATAGCCCATTGAGCACTGTTGCAAAAGATTATCACTTATTTCCAAATAAATGATACCAACACTCTGTTTTTCAGAATGTAGATTTCAAATCTTAAATATGTCATTTGATAACTAGTGGAAATGTGATTTTATACTATTTTTAATGTCTTATTTCCCCCATTAGGATTATCTATATGTCACATATTCAGACAACAAGGGACTATTTGTACACCCACCCTGGAAAAAAAAAAATAAATAAAACAAAGCAAAACATGATCATCATTTTTCAGGAAATTATCAATTTCTCCGATCGATTAACTCAAGTAAAGTGCCAGTCTCTACTACTACCAGTGATTACTTATTCAATAAGCCAATTACTCTGTTAGAAAAATAAAACTTATCTGGAACCTAGCTTATCTCTTTCAAATCTTCAGTAAGATCATCCTTTTCCCTTCTTTTTCTCAAGAGAAAATAAGAAATCTTAACCTATCTCCATAAGATAACCCTTGCATCCTCAGAATTGTCTTAGTATCAGTGTTCTCAATAAACCTGAACCCCCGAGTATTTCACACAAAGTTCTGAGATCATGCACAAAAGTCACATGCAGGTATATTTATGCGTAGAAGATTTTGCTCATTTGCATGAAAAAAGTAACAAAAAAATTATAATTTTAGTGTTCTAATGCTCTTATTGACTTCAGATACTGCTGAAATCAAATGCATTTATGTGTTGAAGCAGGTGTTAGGTATATGAAATAGCTTGATCTATGCAAACAGTAGCTTAGCTCATGGATGTCACATGGTTTCCTGTCTGTACAGAGACCTCAGTCATACAACTATCAGTGAAATGAGAGAGTGCTATCAGATTCATTTGCATATTTGTGGGTGAGCTGTTAATTAGTCACACCTGATAAGTCCAGCCTTCATACTTTTACAGCTTGCAATCAAAAGAAACAACTTTAATCATATTATCTAGCAGATTGTTTGTAAGGTAGTCAGTAAATTATCATTAGCTGTTACTTGTTGCATTTTTGAAGATGGACAGTAATCAGCAGACAGCCTGATTGATAGACTAAGAGATACCTTCTTGGCCTTCTAATTGTTACATAATGAACACATGTACACTTGTTTTAAAGTGGTGAAAATTGATGACTTTTACTAGTTTCAAAATGAGGTTTTATCAGAGTATACCATATTGCTGCAAAAAACAATTTCTTCATTTTTTTACTCCATTACAGAATCATAAAGTCAACATACATACATGTATACATACTGAACAGCTCCAAAGTTAATAGGATATCACTGTGATATGAAGGCAAAATGTAATTTTTGTAGGGGGTGTCAGTATCATTACTAATTTTGTCACTCTAATAATTACAGAATTTTACTGAAATCCTATGGAAAATCCTGCAGTACTAGTAGCTCTTAAACTCTTTGTAGTTACTCCTTTTTTCTGCCCCAGATTTTAGAAAGTAAATGAACCACTACAAAGAGATTTGCTTATTAAATATTATATTGTAATTTTGAAAAATATTTTATTCAACTGTAATTTAAAAAAGGAGTAAGCAAAAAATTTGTAAAAATAATTACATGAGTACTGGGGTAGACCTTCATTATTCTAACTAATGACTTGTATTCTAAAGATATAAATTTTCTGTCTCTCTCTCTCATCCTAGATCTGCTCAATCTCATCTTTTGCTTGATCAACCTCTTTGTTAACTTTTCTCTTTACACCTTCTTTCTGAGGTTTTCCAATATTACCAAGAAGATGGGGAATTGGCAGTCTGTCATGTATCATAGGCTTTCACCCTTAAACCAATTTCTTGTCATCCTTCAGTTCAAGATGGAAGGTTTCCATGATCTGAGATGATTGATGTCTCTCATGTTGTGGATGACCAAAGTTGATGTTTCAAATGTTTTTCAGTATTTCTTCCTTTGTCTCATCCATAACAATAGGATTTTTCATTTCTGGGCAGGGTTAGCTACAATGCTGCATGTCTTTGGTTCCTGAGGGGCTTCACATGGAGGAAACACTCCCTAAGTCTGCATTGTCACTACCATATGGATGGTTGGCTCCTTCTTGCTCCATCTTGAGAAAATTCTTCTGCTGCAACCTCCCTTTTCCTTCAGTAGTTGTCTCATTTGGTTGACTGGTAAAGCTCACCAATTCAGTATTGACCAGTCTGTGACTTTCTCTTTCAAGGACTAACCTCTCTTGAGTCTCTTATCCCTCTGGGATGCACTAACTTGTATTCCCCATCTTGCCTGAATCTGATCCTTCCAATAGACTGATCCTTATCTCCTCTTTTGTTATAGTGGATTTGTATCACTTTGGGACTCTAGTTATCAATGCTTTTGTGATTCCTTTCAGCATCAAGCTACTTTTCTTTTGGTCACCAGTCCCAATCCATGTGGATCTAGAAGTGGATGCTCTATGTCTGGATTGGTCCCACCTCTCTGTTTATGCCTAACCTCCTCTTGTACTTCTTGTCTCTAATTCATAGCACCTCTTGCCTGGTTTTTCTCACTGATTCCCATTGGCTAGTTCAGTCATAGTTTCCACTCCTTTGTCTCTGGCAATGCAGGAGGTACTACTTCTAACGTGGATGCTCTTCTTACTTTAGACTTAAATGTTTGTCATTGACCTTGATGTGCAGTGCTTCATTTTTACACATGGCTTTTGTCTTGTCCCTTGTAGGACAGGTAGGATTTTCTTGCAGGATATTTCACATTCTAATTTAGACTGTGGTTAATTTGTCAAACATTTATGTGCCAGCAGTTTGTTTTAGATAAAAAATAAAGTTAACATACCCTGTACTTCATTTTGATTTGTTTCCTTGTTTATATCATGTAGCAAAATTATTTAATTTTTCGCATACAAGCACTGTAGCTTTTGTAACACTTACCAATATTATGCATTTCAAGCAAATTATACCTAAGGTATTTATATGTTGATATTTATGTAAGTTATTACCAATATCTTAGTAATTGTCAAGCATTCATATGCCAACAGTTTTAGTTAAACCTTTTAACATATATCTTAACGTAATTTGTTTCAATCGTTTTTATTTGGGGCAAAACTAGAGAGGATTTTTAAATCACTGTCTTCCAAGATTTAGCTTTGGAAGTCATAGTTTACAACTTGAACCAGTATAATTTCAGAGGCCACCATGCCTAAAAATGTAGCAGGATAGAGCTACAGACTAATCATTGGCTACTTCTTTGAAGTTGCCTAAATAACATAGCAAATGAGTAAAATTAGGCCACTGGCTTACATCACTCAAGTGGTTTAATAACAGATTGATAAAAGAATTCTACTTTCAAGTATGCATTAAGTGTAGTTGTACAAAGTGCCCAAAAGGCTGATTTCGAAAGAGAAGGACCTTTCACATGATTTTCTCATCGTGTTGTTTCTGTAGGTCAAAGCACATCTGAATATTTTTCCAAGCCAGCTCTTCAACTTGACAAGCATACCAGCTGGTATTTTTCACACACTTATTTAAGTGCATAAAAGATACAGATCATGTGAAATGTTGTTTCCTTATGTGGTCTGGCCTTTTAGGAGACTTTGTGTATTAAAAGAAGGTTAAGGTCATCAAAACTACACAAGGAGACAACAATTAGGCTTAATGTTGTTATTTAGCCTGTAGTAATTATCAGACATTGAAACCCTTTTGTAACAAGTGAGATTACCTTAGAGTAACTTAGTTGTAAAATATAAATTTTTTGCAGTGCTGAAGCAATTTTGTTAAAACCTGATTGTATTGGTTCAGAAATTTCTTGACCTTTCTAAATGTGTAATGGCCTTAGTAAAAATTAATGGTTAACTATTTTTTGTTTTGCCCATTGAACTTGGCTTCCACCATGTCTGCTTCTAAAGTGGCAAGGATGTTTTTACTCTGCTATGTGAGTGAGAAAGCAGTACATACATACATATGTGTGTGTGTATATATATAACAACCCTGGTAACAAAAAATGTGATGTCAATAAAATTATATTAAAGTGCTACATGTATTTATACAATATAGACACTATTTTAAAGATTAAGTTTAAAAAATAAATAGTTACAATAATAAAAAATTTAATTTTTTTTTTCTTCTAGTTTGTAAAATGTGGCTATGCAGGATCCAACTTTCCTGCATTTACCTTTCCATCCTTGGTGGGCAGACCTATCCTGCGGGCAGCCAACAAGATTGGAGACATTGAAGTTAAGGTAATATTGTATTATTCTATCAACTAGATGTAGAGTTAATAACTTGAGAGTTCCAAACTTTCTAAAATTATATTTACAGAATTTGTTGGGAAATAGAATTGAGTGAACAACTTAAAAGAGCTAAAGGTTAAAGCTTGGAAAAGTTTTACTAGTTTTAATAGTAAACTTAAAAGTGTTTTTATACTTACTAGAATCAAGTGATTCAATGAAAGATACTGATAAGTAAAGTATGCAAAGCTTTGTAAATAATTATCACGTAGAGTATGATTACGAGTTCTACAGATGTAAGTAAAACCCAGTTAGAAAAGAATTGTTCACATTGAGTTGAAAGGGAGAAAGTTTAACATGGGAAATATATGTTTTTTACGTCTGAACAGCAATTGTTAAGAAAAAAAATTGTCTCTGAACAATGTTAATGGTTATGAAGGAAGAGCTTATGGCAGAAATCTTTAATATATTGAAATTGAAGTGATCCTGTACCATTAGAGTAAATCTTAAATTAAGTGATTGGAGAGTGTTTTAGTGAATAAACAATTAATTGTAATGATACTTAACCCAAAATATTCATAGAAACATAATATAAAACTCATTGGTGCCTTTACATAGATCTTCCAAAGATTTTAATTATTTGAGATATTTTTGTTTAGTTAAAGTTTACTATTATGCTTGCTGGCTACCAAAGAAGTAATGTTTAAGGAAAGAACAAAGAAATTACAGGCTTATCGATTTGAATTTTGTTGTTGGCAAAGTATTGAGCTTTTGTGAAAGGTTGCTTAGAGGATCAGACTGGAATTCAGAAGTTTTATTAAAGTATTTGGTATTATATTAAGAAGGATTTTTCTTGTCTTACTGACTTGTTGAAGTCCTTTCACAAAAATTTATTTTTAGATGAGAGCATCCATGTGGACATTTTTTATCTCTACTTTATAAAGTTTTATATATGGCAATGCATAAATAGTTCTTAGTGGTTTTGAAGATTCTTATAACAGCAATAAAATATCATACCAAAGCTTGTTTGATAAGTTTAGTAGAAAGCAGAGAGTACTAATGAATAAAAAGTTTTTGGATTAGTTAAATTTTGATAGTCAGGTTTTTCTGAATATGTGTTGTAGCCTTTCTTTGATAATGATATGTAATATGTGATATTTAAACAACATCAGTTGTCATATTTGTAGCTGATACTATGTTGTTAAGTATAGTTGATACTGAAGAATATTTTCATTTAGAAGGCTTAGACAGACTTATTGAATAGTAGAATACATAGTATGTTTCAATTTTGAGAAGTATAAAGGTATGGACTGATGGTACAGAAACATGTATAGAATTTACATGTTGTGGAGAGAGAGAGAGAGAAGTATGAGAGTGTGACTTTTGATAAAAGTTTGAGGCCTTTAGCTAAATAAATGGCAATGACTATTTAATTTAACATACAACCTGACTGTGAGCTGTTCCTGTAGGAAATTCAAGGTTAAGATTTTTTTTGTGTGTATCATACACATGTTTGACTTTATTTGGTATATCATGTTGAGTTTTTGGTCTCCTCATTCATTTTCAAAACACGACCTGTTGGAAAAGACCGTACCTGATTGGACAAATTTGTGTCATGTATAGGTTTTTTACTGAACTTATTAGAAAGCATGCCAATAGTTTGAGATTTTTGTACACTGTTATTCATGTATATGCATTAATATTTAGACTTTAAAACTGTAAGATATTGATTTTTAAACTATTTCAAATACCACAATTTTGCAAAATGCACACTTAAGAAACCCAGAAGTTGTGGTTTTAATAATTCAAGTTTTAACATGTGCCATACTGTATTGAAAAACTTAATTATGAATGAACTAGAAAACAACTACAATGGATATTAAGGCATGCACAAATGTTAAGTTTAATGTGTGTTAATTTTAGAAGTTATGTAGGTGGCATACCATCCTTTGAAGTTAGAATTTTTCTAAAGAAGTAAAAACATGGAAGTTTTTGAAAATACTGTAATTTACATGTATATTTAAGGCAATAAATTGATTGCATTCATCAGATTGAAATTTGGTATAATAACCTGTATATGGCATCCTATATTTTTTTTGTATAAACATACATGGGTTACCTTTATTTTGAAGATCCCCAGTAATGTTTTTTCCAAATATAAAATATTCTTTTGCATAGTAAACAATTCTGTATCTACACGTTTAATGGTTTCTAGATGTTGCAAATAATGTATCAAAGATTGTAGAAGGACTGAATAATTAGCAACTGCCTGAACAAAAGGATACAAGACTGTAATGAACTGGATGTTGATGTGCTTGTTTAAACATAAGAATCAGCTTATACAGCAGTTGACAGCTCATGTTGTGTTAATTAGAATTTAAAACAATTAAGATTACATATATTTTCTTTTTTAATGCATTCAGGAAATTTTAAGTGACACTCACCATGTAAGTACTTTTATTGCATGCTTTTTGTTTTACCAAATCTTGTTATATAACTGGAATATTGGAACTGTCTACTGCATGGGTTTGGACTTGCCAGTGCATATAGTACTTTGCATCGTATATTCACAATTGCATGAATTCATTCTGTAGAACTATGGTACTGTATGTTGTTATTGGAACTCATTCAGCCCATGTTTCTGTGTATTTCACTGTACCGTCATCAGTTACCATGCTGAATTTATAAAATAAAGTCTAGTGACAATGATTTGTTAAGCATTTTTGTGGTGAAACTTCAAGTCTTACTTTAACAATCCTTCTAGTTAGTCCACTAAAGGTTTAAAATTAAGATAGATTTGCAACATTATAGTTTTGTTATTTTCTGAAATCTGATACTTTTCATTGAAACTATTTTTTCATGTTTCTTTGTTGTAGTATGTGGTTTTCACTAGGTCTTTTTACTTTTTTTTCTTTTTTTTAATTTTATATCCATGTTGCATGTAGTGATATTACACATTGTTATAATCTTCAGGACCTGATGGTTGGAGATGAAGCAAGCAAGCTACGTTCCATGTTGGAAGTGGAATATCCTATGGAGAATGGAATAGTCAGAAACTGGGATGACATGTGCCATGTCTGGGACTACACTTTTGGTCCTCAGAAGATGAACTTAAATCCTCGAGAATGTAAAGTTCTTCTTACAGAGCCACCAATGAATCCGGTCAAGAATAGAGAAAAAATGATAGAGGTATAAAAGTCATTCAATGCTTTAAACTTTTTCTTTCATATAAAAAAAGAAGCTATATAGATAGGAAAATTATGTATATGAAATACAGACATAGGATTGATGATGTTTCACAATAGTTTAGTGGGAGAATGCTTTCAAAGATTAAACTTCTCTGCAATCAGTTGTTTCTATAATATAAATATACAAGAATTTTACAACTAAAACTTAATAGTTTAATATATTTCTAAGTTTATCTATAAAATATTTTCATAAGTTTTATATTATTCTCCTTTTAATACTGAGGAAAATAATAAAACAGAGGCTTATTTAATTAACCACATTTTTTGTTGTGAACATTCATTATAATTTTTTTTAGAATGGTATAAAACTGTTCTCAATGTTTTTGTATGTATTTTATGTAAATTCATTCAATCAATAATTTTGGGTTGGACCAATATAAAACTTAACAACTAGTGCATTGAAACATGCAACTACAATTAGTCAAATTACAAAAGTATTATTGATTGATATGGAAACTGATCAAACTGTTTTCAGGGCTCTAAATTAGTGGGGGCCTGGGAACCAATGGCCTCCTCTAAATAGTATGTACTAGGTAGCCTATCTACCCCCTTAAAATCAAAAGAGCCATTAAGAGTTTGACTCCACATAAATTGAACTAAACATTTCTTAACTGAGCAGAACTTATCGACAAACCATGAATGGACCTTTCTAAATTTATGAACACTCATCAGTCATGTACAATCTACAGACGTCGTCACTATGAATTCCCTTGCAATGAATGTTTAGCTCAAATACATATGTGCTAGCTGCACTGGTGTATAATTTATATGTCATTTATAGTCTATCATGACTAACAAGCAGTGTGTACATGTATGTTTTGTGTATACAGATCAAGAAATGTGTGTTCAAGATGATTCATAGCCTATGCCAAGTTTGTTGCAGCTAAGGTACCACCACTTGATTGCTCTATCCCAAAGGACCTATGCTAGTGAGCAACGAAGCTACGAACAAAGCTGCTCCCCGATCTATCAGGACATTGCAGTTTGGGGGTCCAGAGCAAAAAGAGAAAAGCAAAATTCCTTAGTGGGTATTTTAGTTTGAAAACTTTCAGGTCCAGAAGGGCCTAAAAGGTAACCAGAGGCAGTCAAAAACTGTAATATCTCTTCGCCCTTTTTGCAAAGGCTGTAAAGAAATTAAATTTTAAGATTTGTGAGTGCTTTGATGAAATAATGTGGAGCTTAATGTTGTTGAAACACAAGAGACTGATTCACAAGCATGGTTGGTGGATAAGGTAAACAAGGGGAGTTGATACCTCATAATAAATGTCAGAGAAAAACTGAGACAGTGAGGAGCCAGGAAACAAAAAGTTTGTTGAAAGAGAGGCTGATACTGAAACTGAAGAAGGTTGCTTGCTGTATATGAAGGCTTCAATATAAAAGGTAGCTGTTGACAAAGACGAAACAGGTATGAAGATTGAAGGAACCAAGACTGTACTAAGTACCATCCAGTTCAAAGTTGACACAAGTTGTATAAATAAGAGTGATAATTATGGTCTGAAGTGATTGATTAATTATTTCTTGATAGGGGATGAATACATAGAAAACTAGCAAAGATAGTAACGTTTAAATGGGTTTCAATTTATTAAAATTGATGGCAGAAAGATTTAATAGCTTTGGTGGAATTAATACATAAAAAATGTAATTTAAATTTTGAATGAAGAATATGAAGGGAAGCGGTCCTTCTCAGGTTGGGGATCTATAGATCCAATGAAAATAATTTTGATGTAGGGGAAAATGGGAGTACCCTGAGAAAACCCTCTTTCACTAATTAGGCACTGAATATTCTACCCGATCAGTGCCTGAGTTGTTAAGGGTTGACTGGAAATTATGAGCTTTTACCTACTTTTATATATTTTCCTAAAAAAAGATTATAGCTTGGAATTTGGATGGTCGAGAGTTACACACCATTTGTTGCACCAATCTGACACTACATTGAATGATATTTGAACCCTAAATGTCACGGTACACAGGTTGCTAGAAGAAACCAGATAGCAATATCATATGCATATTGAGGTGCAAGTTTATGGTTTATGGAAGGGAACTGGATTTCATTGACAAAGAGGTTGTATGTTGGGCATAACACTGACCTTTGTGGGACACCAGCTTTGAACATGAAGGGCCTGAAGGTCGCATTGTTGTTCTTAACTTTAGCTGTTCTCTCAGTAAGAAAGCTGGATATCCAGTTTTTTGGACATCTAAAAAGGTAGCTCTGGTTGTATGCTTTCCATTGAAACCATAGTAGATGGTTTCAGTAAGTCTAACAAGGTGGTAAGTGGTTTGTCTACATTTTCTGCCTGAATTCTGTATGTTGTTAATAACATTGTTGGTTTCTACATAAGTGCTTAACTAGTTCATGATTAATTTCTCCATCAACTTTCCAAGGGTGTTTAGCAAGCTAATGGGTCTGTAGCTGCCAAATTATTTATTATTTTTTTGGTGGATTACCTTAGTTATAGCTGATTTCCAAACAGATGGGTAATATCCTGATAGTAACAATAAATTATAAATTGTTACTAAGTGGGTTATAATTTCATTTAATAGGTTTTTTAGGATTAAATTTATTCCATCCTCTCCTGGGACTTTGCATTTTATTTTCCTAAGGTTAGTTTTGATTTCTGCTAAAGTTATAGAACCAGAAATTTGTGATATAGAAACTGGAAGTTTGGTGTAGAAAAAATATTTTGACTATAAGAAATGTGTTGATTTACATTGTTGAAATGTTGTGTGTCCAACAAGGTGAGATTTGGGGTTACAAAAGTACTTTCAAAATATTCGGCATAAAGTTATCAGTAGTGGCAGTGTTATTATTATATTGAATTTTATTTATGGAGTTGTTTGATTTGTTGTTTGTGATAGATTTAAATTTCTGCCAGAATTTGAAAGATTTGGATTTATCTACTGATAGACAGACGTTTTTCTAGTTATTATGTTGTTGTTGTAATATAAGTTTCTTAAAAAGATTATATTCATGGAATTAATGAGTGGTTTAAGTGTGATGTCACGGGTTTGTATGAAGTTGTGTTTGAGTCATCTGTGGGTAATTATTGATTTGTGAATTTCAGGAGTAAGTTTCCAGGATTGTAGGTCAGGAATTGTTACATTACTAGGGATTATTTCTTTGATGGCATGGGTTGTGGCATTGATTACATGAGAGGTGTATTTATAGATTTTGTTTGGTTTTTTATGGCTGTGATGCTCCTTGTTTAAAGGCTAAGTGGTTCAGAACTCTGTGGCTTGTGAACTTGACACATAAAAATGTTAGCACACTCTGCACTGAGCACTTGGGAAACATTCTTAATAATAACTGTGAATGAAAGAGGAAATACGCCTGTGGAAACAAATGTTACTGCCCTATGGACAGTGTGCTAGAATGCATTAGAAGTGCTTTATGCAGAGTAGGAGTTCCATGTTTAAAACTTGGAGTGTAGTCTCACTTGATATGGCCTAGCAATAATTGAATTAGTATGTTTGCCAGTTGTTTTGTGTGTAAAAATTTCACACTTCCATTACGTAAGCAGTTAATAAAAACATAAATTGCACGACAGAAAAAAAAATGGCTGTAGAATCCAAAGATTAGATCTGTTATTTCCAGTAAGAGTATTGGTCTTTAGATGATGAGAAATTCTGATGTTTTTCAGGCATTTTTGACCATTTCTGATACAATGTGTATATATTGGCTTATGTTTCAAGAGACATGTTTTCATTAATAAAATTAAAAGCTCCAAAATAATGTACAATCCATTAAATTATGTGCTATGGCCCGAATCGAGTTACATTAAATGATTACCCAATGTATAGGGCTAGATACCCACCTATGATTGGCCAGTCATGAAGTGGTATGCTGAAAACTATTAGTGGTCTATTAGAGAATGGCGTATTAATTTTTATGGCAACAGATTTTCAATTTGGTATGAAAAACATGGAACAATGATGGGCACTTCATGCTGATGGTCCACTAATAGAGTTTAGAATCACATTCTCTTCTCGACATACCTTACAGAATATTATGCCACCGTCTTCGTAATGGTGTAACCGGTTATTAACCCTCTCCCCTGTAACTACTTTCCTCTTTTTACTTTTCATATGTACAGTCCCCTTGCCTTTTTTTCTGTTACATTATTTTTCGGTCATCAAGATTTGGTTCTCTTCATTTAAGAAAATTTTAATTTTTGGGCGACTTTTATGCTGTGTTCTCCACGACTTTGACTGAATATCTTTTGGCAACACTGGTCTGTCATGAGTAGACTCTTATTCATAAGTACAAAGTTCTTTTGCAACAACAATTTGTCAATATCTAAAGATGTAGGTGATCCGAAAAAGAAATTCTTTCATTATTTATTTTGATTGTTAAACGACACTACTTTAAAAAGAAACAAAATAATAGATTACATTGGCAGTGATGCATGACTTTCCGTTTTATTTATTTTGATCATTAAAGGACACCAAAGGTTACTGTTGTACCATGCTTTAGACAGAAATTAAATAATATATATGAAATAAAAATCATTTAAGTTGTCTGAAATAAATTAAATAGTTTGTTTTCATGAAATACGAGTTCACAACAAAATAAGATGAGATGTGTTGATATCTTTAGTTTCTTTTCAATTTACGTAATATCCGCTACTTAACCCTTTCACTGAGGCTGAGACGTATATTTTCTAAAGCACTGGGAAATGTACGTCTCAACTGCAGTGAATGGGTTAATTCGGTGATTTTTCTAATACCCCTCCACTGGGTAGTACATCTTACATTGAGCTATAGGATTGGCCCCTAAAAATGCATGTTTTGGGAGCCTAGGTGGCTCCCTAAAAATGTTAAGCGTGATCCCTGGTTATACTTTATAATGGTAATTTGTTATATTTTTATAAATAATCTTTAGTACTTAAATGACTATTATTACATTTAAAAAAACCTTTTCTTGTCATAACTTCAAGCTTACTT